AGGAAAAAGCTCAGGTGTGGAAAGCTCATATGGAAAGGTTGATGAATGAAGAAAATGAAAGGGATGGAGATGTGGAATCCGCGGTCACACACGGACCTGTAGAGAAGGTGACGATGGAGGAAGTAGAGAAAGCAGTTAGAGAAATGAAACTAGGTAAGGCGACAGGGGTTTCGGAAGTGGCGGCAGAACATATAAAAGCGAGTGGGGTGATAGGACTTGAAGTTATGATGAAAATTGCTAACAGTATGTTTGATGATGAAGGTATACCTGAGAATTGGCGACACAGTGTGTTGGTGCCGTTGTATAAGAGCAAAGGAGATGTGAGAGATTGTGGGTCATATAGGGGTGTGAAATTGCTAGAGCACGGAATGAAGGTAGTGGAGAGGGTGCTTGAGAGGAGGTTGAAAAATATGGTGACAGTTAATGAAATGCAGTGTGGGTTTATGCCTGGTAGGGGAACGGTGGATGCGTTGTTCATGGTGAGAATGTTGCAGGAGAATTATAGAAAGAAGAAACGAAAATTGTACATGTGTTTTGTGGATCTAGAAAAGGCTTTTGATCGAGTACCGAGGAAGGTCATTGAATGGGCGTTGAGGAAGAAAGGAGTGAATGAGAGACTTGTTAAAGCTGTGATGCAGCTGTATGAAGGGGCAAAGACAAAGGTGAGGGTTGGAAGGGGGATGTCGGACGCTTTTAGTGTTAAGGTAGGAGTGCATCAAGGATCAGTTTTATCACCGTTTCTGTTTGCAATTGTGATGGATGTTGTGTGTGGAAACATAATGGAGGGGTTGTTATTTGAGATTTTGTATGCAGATAATTTAGTCTTGATGGCTGATAGCATGGAAGAATTGCAGTTAAAATTTGACAGATGGAAAAGTGTTATTGAAAAGAAAGGGTTAAAAGTTAATATTGGTAAGACAAAGGTAATGGTGAGTGGGGAAGGTGGGGAGCGAGTGATAAGTAAAATAGACCCCTGTGGGGTATGTGACAGGAGAGTGAAGGCTAACTCAGTATTGTGTATAGGATGTCAGAAATGGGTGCATAAGAGATGTAGTGGTTTGAGGGGGGCACTGAAAAAGGTGGAAGGCACGTTCAAATGTAAGAAATGTGTTCATGGTGTGATTAATAGGACGGACGCAAGGACAGGGTTGAATGGTGGTATTGAAAGAGTGGAAAGCTTTGTTTACTTAGGGGATAAGCTGAACGCGGATGGAGGATGTTTGAGCGCAGTTACGGCTAGAGTTCGTGCGGGATGGATGAAATTTAGGGAACTGTGTGGAAAGAAATGGTCAGTGAAGATGAAAGGGAGGGTATATAAAGCATGTGTGAGAGCAGCGATGGTATATGGTGGTGAAACTTGGGTGTTGAGGAGAGAGGAGGAAAGTGTACTGCAGAGGGCTGAAAGAGTTATGGTGAGGATGATGTGTGGGGTTAAAGTGAAAGATAGGAGGAGTAGTACGGAGCTGATGTCAATGATGGGATTGAATGAGGACATTGTGACATTGATTAGGAGATCGAGATTGCGGTGGTATGGACATGTGTTGAGAAGGGATGAAAGGGTCGAGATTAGGCGAGCGTTGGAGTTTGAAGGAGTGGTAGGAAGGGGTCGGCCGCGATTGGGATGGAGAGAGCAGGTGGAGAAGGACAGGGTGAAAGCGGGGTTGCGTGATACTAAGGCGAGTGACAGATGTGGATGGCTTCGAGGGGTATTTCGGTTTCATCATAGGTAGCCAAACGGCAACCCCTGATCTCGGGGAAAATGTCGTCTAAACGTGTTTTGTTTGTTCATTTATCAAAATTTTTTGTGGGGGCTGAAATTAAAAAAAAAAGTTCGCATTTTTTGCATATTCCACATTATTTTAATGATTCCCTATCAAAATCTATTTACATGTAGATTTTGTTAAATTTAAACTTAACCATAACAAAAATATCTATTGTGAAGGGTTTTGTCCCAAAGCTCCCTCTTGGTAGCGCCTCTGACATACCTTTTCACTCTATTATGTAATTCAAACACCATCCAATCAGAACTCGATTGATTAATTACATGTTCTCTTAACTCCAATAAACCATTCGAACTTATCATTTACAACAGTCGTTAAAAAATTAATATTACCTCCAGAACAACCATCTATCACTCGCACTAATCAATTTAAAATATTAAGCATACCACTCACTGCCACACTAATATTGCAGCACAGCTGAAGTCTCGTCCTAAAAAGCTGTGAGGCACAATCGATATGTTGTTAGAAAAACATCGTACAAATCGTTCTGTTGAATCAATTTAGCAAATTCTGTTGGTTTCAGTTTACTTTGTTTTTAGTGAGAAAATCAAAAAAGTCGGAGAATTGTACAAACATTTCTGCTAAACCTCTCCTATTTGGGATTCAAATCCTGAAAATTTATTTTGTTCGTTTAATCTAAGGTGTGGTGATGAGATTAAAAGATTTGTATCTGTCATTCATAAATGACAGGTACAACCCCTTGCCTACGCCTCTGATTTGTTTGTTTAAATAATTGATGTTTTATGGTATGATAGAACTATAAAGATTTTATTTGGAATGTCCGAACAAAACTAAGGCCAAACTTCAAAAAGTGGACATTCATTTATCGTCTGTAATTGAAATTTACAACTCAATTTTGAAGTTGGCCTTCGAGTCTTTCAGAAAAAGGAAAGATATCGTGCATAATGAACATTTTCATAAACTTTCCTTATAGAATTTCTTTTGTAATAAGTTCATACTTTCTTCTTTAATGTTAATTTCTGCTTTACTTACTTTCCTACAAGTCTTTGGTTCGCTCACGACTAATTATTGAAGTAGAAAAAGATCAGAGAAGAGCTACCAATAATCCAAAGTCCTGTAAAAATTTGGATTACAATTCAAGATTGTTAAAACTAAACCTCCTATCTTTCGATTCAGTTGTGCAGTAGACCTGATGTCAACACCAGAGGTCATCAGCTCAGCTTATATACTCGACTGGCAAAATAGGGTTGTAGAAAAGATATTTTAGAATGGAGTTGTTAGCCCCTAGAACGCGTAACCTAATGGCATTTTTAAGGCTCACCATTGGACATTTTAAAAACTAAACTCGATTTTTTTATGGTGACAAAAAAGTATTCAATATTTTGGTAATAATTTGTCATTTGTTTGATTTTGATTATTGGTTTTTAGCCTGTTATTAAGTCTATATATAGAAAATGATGCAAAAATGAAAGCAAAGACTGTTTAAAAATTCCGGACCTGTTCAAACAAAAAAATTTAAAGCATCTTAACAATTTTTGGTAAATGCAATGAACAGTTAAGATTGTTAACCATGCTTTACCATTCTTTTCAAATAACGACATGTGTATGCAGCATGAATGTAGTAAATACGTTATACAGTTTTGATCTACGAGCCGGATTGGATATTTTGTTTGCATATTGTTTTCAAACATGGCATTTTTTCTCTATTAAATACTGTTACTTCAAATATGGCATATTTTCTCTATTAATTACTGTTACTTATGCCTATAAAAGAAAATAATTTTTCAGTTTGAGTCCGCTAAACCATGGGTCATCGGCATAGTACTTTAAAAATGACGGCACTGAAAAGGTTGAGAACCGGCGCATCAGATAAACTCTCGTCATTTTACATTGCATATCAGAATATTTAACCTTGTTCTCTCAATTATAAATAATTTAATTTTATGGAAAGTTATGATCATAAAAACGAAATTTATTACTTAGTTTGCTGTTTGTGGTTTTTGAATTTATTTTGAAACAGTTGTATTTAATATCATAAGTTTTAAAATTATTTTCAAAAAATTTTTCAAGAAGCGAACAACTGTAAATATAAATTACTAAAACGGTGAAATTGTATTATTTTCATTTACTTTGCTCAAATATTAGTAACCTATTTTAAAACAAATAAAAATTTACATCCAAATAAAAAATGTTAACTTGATTCATATTCGCTCTGCCATTTCAAAAATTTTCCTAAAAGTTTATTTGCGGATGGTTTTGTTCTGGAAAGAACCCATTTCACGTCACTCGTAGTAATAGTTTCTAACGAAATGTGCAATTCATCTTCAATTTTACTATTTTCTAAAATTGAAAATACTTTTCGTAATGGTCTCATGGCAGCTTCTTTGCAGACAACGTATATATCTGAACCAGAATAACCATCAGTCAAACTTGCCAAATCATTATAATTCAAATCTGCTAATAACTTTGTTCTATTATTATCTTCAGGACAAACAACTGGTGGCAAATGATGTTCAAACATGGATTTTCTGGCTTCGAGATTTGGTAACCCTATAAGTATACGTTTCTCAAGTCTTCTTAACAGTGCGTGGTCTAACTCCCACGGCAAATTAGAAGCAGCAAGTAAGAATACCAGATCATTTGATTTTGCCAGACCATCCATTTGAACAAGAAGTTCAGTTTTCATACGCCGACTACCTTCATGTTCACCATTTGGCCCTCCTCTTTCACCCATTAACGCATCGATTTCATCGAGAAAAATTGTAGAAGGAGCATGGAAACGAGCTAGCTCAAATAAAACTCTCACCAATTTTTCTGAGTCTCCCCTCCATTTGCTGACAATAGTAGAGGCTGATATGTTGAAAAAAGTTGTCTTGCATTCGGTGGCTATTGCTTTTGCTAACAACGTTTTACCAGTTCCTGGAGGACCATATAATAAAAGTCCTTTCCATGGTGATAATATACCCGTGAAAAATTGAGGAAATTTTATGGGATACACTACCGATTCCTTTACTATGTTTTTAGCATTTTCTAGACCAATAATATCAGTCCAGTTGACATTAGGATTTTGTAAATAAATATCTCTTGATACAACTTGAGCCAGCTCTTTCCATTCAGATGAATAACCAATATAACCACCCAATGGCTTTAATAACCTATCTTCGACATTGTCATTATAGTTTGAGCACTGATTAATTTTCATAGTAGAATGTAAGATTTGTTTGCAATCAACCCCTTCAGTTTTATCATTAACAAATGTTTTGCCGTTGAGCAATGGTTGGCCAACAATTGGCAAAAGTTTATTAGATTCATAGTTGTTGTTAAGATTTTCTTGACTATTTCCGTTCGTTGATGAGCTCATTGTCGGTTTAACTTTTAACTGATTAAGGTTCTGAAAATCATCTAAATTTGAATGAGACACTTTTTTACAGTTATAAGAGTTGATTCTAGGTAAAGTTGCGTCAATTTTGCCATCACCGTTGTGTTTGTTTGAATCTTTAACAAAATTACTCACACGTTTAGCTGGACAAGAATTCCCATGAGGCCTTATCGATACATCAGGCAAATCGATTTTTTTGGAAATTTTTGGATATCTATTGAATTTAACGTGATAATATGCTTCGAAATCCATTAAAATGGTTTCTAAATTAATGTTATCACAGACTTCATATTTTGATAGATTTAAATTTGTTTCTTTTCCAAGAGTCTCAGCAGAATTAATGTAACCTTCATCGTGAAGATATTGCAAAACAATAAGAAGCATATTTTTTTTACGTTGATTTGTTCTTTGATCATCAGAATCCTTCAATAGCGAAGCAGTTTTTATAGATTTGTAACTCATCATTTTATCAGCCATTGTTTTGAGAAATTTATTCAAAAATGTTATTTAAATGAATGTCTTTTTTCATGCAGCAATCAACACTGGTAAATTTAAATTAATTTAAAGTGACATTGAAATTTTGATATCGAACAGTTACATGGTAAAAAGTGAATTGCATTCAAAAAGACGGGCATGACTTTACTAATATATATATATATATGTAATTTAAAAATATCACAGCATTGCAGACAATTTTAATTTGAACTGAAAAACTACTCTTTGGCGTGTTTGAGTACGTCGGGGCGTTTAAGAAAATTAGATTGGTTCCCAGTAGAGCAGCAAATTACTTACAAAATCGCCTTAGGATCAGAATCTCCTACTTTTTTTCTCCAATCAATCAGTCAGTCAATCACTTTTTTCTCTGAGAGCCTACTGTATATTAATATTAGCTTATCGGTCTAGCTTCAGGTCTACGTACGTAAGTATAGTTAGCAGTTAGTGCAAAATTTTATTGGTATAAAAAGCGAAATTTTTTCAAATAGCTAACCTTTTGTTTATATATTATATCACCAATTTAAAAAAAACCATTTAATTATTAGAAAAATGTCAAAAAATGATGAAAGTACGATAAAAATGCCACATTATTTTGGGTTGCTAAGCAACAATGAAAAATGACAGCAAAATATATGGAAAGGCAGTTTTTCGTGTCTCTTTTTCCAAATAAAGTGTAATTCAAACAAATTATAATCAATGTTAAATATCAACTACAGTTTTGGTAAACCCATAATTAATTGCATTCTCTCTTACAAATTTTTATTTACGTTGAGCTAAACCGCTGAACCTGAATGAAGGCTTAAAAGCATTTACCTTAGTTAGTCTTATCTGATCCACAATCTTTGGTGTCCGATCTTTAGTTACCCTTATCCGAACCGCAATCTTTGGTTTCCTTGCTTCCAAAAAGTCTATTATGAGAATAATATGATAAGGCAACCAGGCCCAATTCTAAGCATAAGCGTTAGCCTTAGGCGGCACATTTTTGAGGTTTTCAAGAAGAGTCATTTACTCTAAAAAGAAATTAATTTTCACTGATTTTTAGTAATGTAAAACTTTCAAGTGTTTACATTTTTAATTCTAGTAGTTTATTTTTCTATTAAGGTTAGCTTTTAGTTAATCTTTCTTTTTTCATTTTTTAAAATTTAAATTTATCCAAGAAAGCGGTCTTTTATAAACATTTATTAAACTTCCTTTTTTAGGGTCATGAATGTTGAATAGGATTTGAATATTTAAATGAAACATATAGAGTATTATATTAATTCGTAATAAAATAATAAATTGAAATATTAATTCGTAATGAAATGGTAAATTGTTTTATTAGAAAGTCGTTAACATGGATATCTATAATATCCACATATATCTATAATATAATATAGTATAGTATAGTATGGTATAATATAATATAATATATTATAATATATATAATTATATCTATGGTCGTTAAGTAAAACGTTTACAGCCAGTTTTAGCTTGGTGAATCGTTTCATAGCAAATTTTAGCTAGGTAAATTGTTAGTCAGACCTTTCAGACCTGCTCACAGTACTGAAACTTTTTTACTCAAAATACACAATGATATCCTTCTCTCTAGTGACAATAGTAATCTTACTCTTCTTCTTGCTCTTGACTTTTCCTCGGCTTTTGATACTGTTGAGTGTTGACCATACTATTCTCTTGAGACTGCTGTATCATTCTTTTAATATTACTGATTCTTGTCTATCTTGGTTTTCTTCTTATCTCTGTAATCGTTTTTCTTCTGTTGTTCTCAATAATTCTACTTCTAACTTCTCTACTCTTACTTTCGGGGTACCTCAGGGTTCTATCCTTGGCCCTCTTCTATTTATACTCTATACTTATGAACTACCTCTTTCTTTCTCTAGTCAACTATATGCTGATGATTCTTACATTTATACTTCTTTTCCTCCATCTAATCTCGATAGTGTTCTTCATAATTTATCTCTATGTCTTTCTTCAATTATTGCTTGGTCTGACTCTATGTGTCTTAAACTTAATCCTTCTAAGTTTGAATTAATTTGTTTTAATAAATCTAAACACTCTATTACTATTCCTCCTATTATCTTACCTGATTCTAAAACTCTTGATGTCTCTCATAAGTTTCGTAGTCTAGGTTTTATATTTGATTCTACTATGTCTCTCTCTTCTCAGATTAATAGTGTTGCTAGAAGCTCTTACTTTCATCTACGTAGAATAAAAAAACTTTTGCCTTTTCTTGATGATCCTACTCTTCTCCTTCTTGTTACTTCGTTAGTCTTATCTAGGATAGATTATTGTAACTCACTCTACTATGGTCTTCCTGACTCTATACTCTATCCTTTAAGTAAAGCTTTTAACTCTGCTGCTCGTCTAGTTGCTTGTGCCCCTTTCTTTTCTCATATATCTTCATATCTTGTTCTCTTGCACTGGCTACCTATAAAATATAGAATAATTTTTAAAATTTGCACGTTCATGTATAAGTCTCAATCTAAATTATTTCCTAAATATTTATCAGATATATTAATTGAACCTAAACGCCCCGGTTTACGATCGTCTTCTTGTTCTCGCTTTTTCTTAACTCGTGTTAAACACTCTTTTGCCAAATCTGCTTTTGCTTTTTCTGGTCCTTTTCTCTGGAACTCTCTACCTACTTCTCTGACTACTTCTCCATCACTTGCGAAGTTCAGAACGGATCTCAAGACACATCTGTTTTCAAAATTCATTGAGGAGCGCTGTTGAACATCGCGGAAATAGCGCTTTATAAGCTAATTGATTGATTAATTGATTGATTGAGTCAGGCAATTACGACAGATTACTTTCTGAATTTTCAAGAAGCGGATTTTTCTGCAATATTTTTTCATGGTTGATAATTAATCATTTATTTAACTGTTATAAGTTTACGCAGTATATTTTTTCATTAAGATTAACGTTTAGTTGTTATTTTTTCAGTCTTTTCTTTTCGAAAATTTTTAATGTTAAAAACAATATAATCGTGTCTGAGGTGTCAAATGTTTGGTTGGTTCAATCAAAAAATAAATCGCTGATCAATTGGATATGGAAGAACTAACAAAAAAATCTGAATTTATAGCCATAAAAATTCATTTTTAAATACAATTTATATAAATTGATAATTTGTTAATGTATTTTTTTAATATGAATCGATTTATTTGTGTAAAGTTTGGTGGCAAATTAGCATATTGTCTATACATAAAAGATTTCTAGAAACCGGTCTTAAGACAACAGTGGCGGATCTAGGCATATAATTAGAATAAATATAACGGCCTTCGCTCATTTTTGACGGTCGAACGAGGAGCTTACTTTCGGAGGGAAATTGGAGGGTGATTTTTTATCGCCCAAGTCAAAAGTTACGATCGTATATTTACTAATTTCGGAATATTGCTTTTATTTAAAATTTGGTGGTACTAGATGCTGTTTTAGGATAGATATTGCTGTATGACGGTTAAGTATCTTTTGGCATTTTAAATAAAAAAAATTTTTTGTGAACCACCAACAACACTTAACTCGTAACAACACTAAACTACGACTAATTAGTAACTAAATTACTAAACTCTAATAATTAAGCTAAAACTAAACTCTACTGATTCTAATTACTAATTGAAATAAATAACAGATAACACTAACGAACATTAACAGATTAGACTACTAGAAACTACCAACCACTACACTAATACATACTACTACTACACTAACGACTAACAGCACTTGTTCCTAAGATCCTAAATTCTATTGCTTGATTGGTTTTAAAATTTTTATTTACAATGCTTAGGTCTGGGAATAAAAAATATACTAAATTAAATAAATATATTAAACAACTTACCAATCAATTTTATAAAATAAACAATTTTGTAATTTGTTCAATTCAAGCTTCAAACTCCCAAAGCTAACTTGCAATTTAATAAAAATTTATTAATTATGAGTGATTCAAACTAAATTTTTTTTTATTTAATGTTTTACAAAATATTCCTCATTCTTAAATTGTAGTACATGTTGTTATTAAATTTATTATGTGTGATTCCAGTGATTCATCAATCCATGACTTGTTAGATCATGATCATTCAGTTTTAAAGAATCCCCATCACCATAACCAATGAGGTTTGTAAAAATTGTACTTTTAATTTATTATATTTTATGCACTTAGAGTGTTGTGTTATTAATGGCAAGTAAATAAAATAATTAAGCATAGAAATAGCCACAATCAAATTAATTTATATAGGCATGAGTATAATTTGGATAATAATAATTAAAAATATCGGTATCATTGAAATTGGATAAAGTCATAAATACAAAAATAAATCATAAATTGCTAAAAATAATAGTTCCAGTAAGATTTTGCTTTACACCTACATCTTTTTTTCATTCTTATATTATAATAAATGTTTGTTATCAAATATATCAAGGATTGATTTCTCAATCCATGACTAGATTGAATGTCATGATCCTACAGTTCCAGAGGATCCCCGTCACCATTAGTCAATAAGGTTTGTAGAAATCACCCCAGGCATACCATCAATGTTTTGTAGCCACCTTTTAATGTAGTGTTAATAAAATGACATTGAGAATAGTTATTTAAAACAATCTTATTAAAATTATTGAACAGGTATGACAAGATTACTTTTTTAATGTCCTAGTGTGAGGAAGATGAAAGCCATTTGTCTAAAGATAATCATATGCTTTATGCCCATACAAATGCAGTGTCAACGCGAATGATTTTTGATCAGAGTCATATGTTCTAATTTTTTTAAACTTTTCCAGAAATTTTTCTGTTAATTTATTTGTTACATTAAATACTTGATGTGTATTTCATATAAAAACTTGATTATGCCAATTTAGTTAACTTGTTAAGCATTAATATAAAATTGACTCTACTTGTAATGGTGATTGGTATGATGATGATGATCCCAGTCCTAAGCAGGGTTTATTATTCACAATGTCATTATGCCCTTTCTAAGTTTTAATAAAATACATGGAATATTGGTGAATGCATTTTATATTTTTTGTATAGATAAGAATGTTGCAATGTACAATGATGATGTGAATTGCTTCCTTGTGTAACTGATGACATATAAATATAACTAACTTGAAAACATGGGAATGCTCCCTTCAGCATTACCTTCCTTTCTCCATCATAACCCTTATAATCTTTATTACAGAAATGGTCACTGCATATTCTTGCATTTTTTGATGGAAGCCATTTGAAATCATTTATTCCCTGTCTGATGCTCTTAATCCAATCGTTTTGCATTTTTACATTTTGAGGAAATCTGAAATTTTATAAACTGTTACAGAAACTTGTGCATTTCTTAAGTATTGCTTTTATTGATAATAAAATGATAATCCATGATAGCATTATAAATTATAATAGTCTATAAAATAAAATATATGTAATTGTAAAACAAAATAGTTCTATTCAATGAGTATAGGGATATTGTTACATTTATTTTATTATTATTTTATTTTTATTTATTTTAGTGTAAAGTTAATTTGAAAATAAACTTGTGAAAAGATGCATCAGAAATTTTTTCATTTCTATTTATTATTAATGCAATTTTTAAATGCAACAGGTAGGCATGTTTGTGTATAGCTACGAAAATGAAAATTTACTTAAAAACTAAATTATTGTATCTGACACGACAATATAAAAATTTAAACATTGATTGAAAGAGTTTATTCTAGTTATATGGTATGGGCAATTCGTTGCGAAATCGTTGGAGGAAATGGTGTCAACAGTAGTTATTTTACTGCTTGGTAGTTAATCAGCCGGTATAAAGGTTATATTCAATTCCTATCAAATAAATTTGACAAAATATACACAGGCAGAACTAAATAAAGAAATAGATAGATATATACACGTAGTTAAAACACATTTATAATGTTGTATGTACAATTGTGTTATGGTGTAGTCCCAAATTATTTTGAATTCTCTCAGAAAATTTTAAACGTTTTTCTACACTATATACACTACTAGTTATTTTTATCAACAATTTAAAAATTTTATCAATAATTAAAAAAAAATTTCAAATTGATTTCATTGCGATATCGATAATGATTTTTGTGACCTGACTGATTAAAAAGCATCAAAGAAAGTTAAAATAGGATAGAGAATTTGTTATATTGGGATATTCGTTTAAAAAGCGAGCAAAATTTTAATATAAAAGCGCTTATAAATCTATGCATATTGGCTCAGCTTGGCTTGGCTCGGCTTGGAATCGGATGTTAAGCAAGGTGTGGTCTTAAACTATTTTGAATTCTCCCCGAAAAATTTGAACTGCGTGCGTACATATATAGTAATGGCTACTGTTGTTTTTTATAATGAATTTATAAAATATATAAACATAGCGAGCAAAATATTAACATAAAAGCGCTTTTAAATCTATGCAAATTGGCTCAGCTTGGCTTGGCTCGGCTGGGAATTGGATGTTAAGCAAGGTGTAGCTCAAACAATTTTGAATTCTCCCCGAAAAATTTGAACTGCGTGCTTACATATATAGCACTGATTACTGTTGCTTTTATAATGAATTTTTATTATATATATATATAAAGTGACTGGAATCCATGTATACAAATAATTAAATTATATTATATTAGATTATATGTTTATATGAAAAGCAATATAGCAGATTCAACCAGCCAACCAGAAAGTTTCGAAGGCGTTTGTTCGATGACTTCAGTTTAGTACGGTTAGCATTGTGGTTAAGACTGTATAATAGTGCAGTATATACATTAAACAAGTTTTTTACTGATGCGAATGATTGAAATGATGAGAATGTATGGTTGAAACGAGTATAAATAGAGGAACTGAGACAACATGAAAATCAGATCAGCATTCTGCCTCGCTTGAAGCAGTCTGTCTGATCTCATTTATTTTATTTTTAAAATTTTTTTATTTTTATTTATTTAATTATATAGAGTTATATAGAGTTATATAGAGTTATATAGTGTTATATAGAGTTATATAGAGTTATATAGAGTTATATAGAGTTATATAGAGTTATATAGAGTTATATAGAGTTATATAGAGTTATATAGAGTTATATAGAGTTATATAGAGTTATATAGAGTTATATAGAGTTATATAGAGTTATATAGAGTTATATAGAGTTATATAGAGCATATATAGATACCTTTCTTTGCTCTTCTTTTCTCTTTTCTTTGCCGACCGGTCGGTTTCTTTGCGGTTATTTTCATTTAAATTGAATAAATAAGATTTTTTCATTCATTTAGGTTTTTCAGGTTCATTTATCCAGGTTGAAGCTTCCAGAGGAGTTCATCGTGGACGATTAGAATGGTTGTGATGTTGCGCTACGTTCGTTCGTTCGGTGGCAAAGAATGCACGCCCTGCTGGGGTACGTTTTACGGTTTCTTTGCGGTTCTTTTTTTTTGCCAGTTGGCTGGCTTTTCTGGCGGGTTTCACCGCGGCTCGTTTTTCTATTTTTATTTAAATTAGTCAAATAAATAAGATTTTTCCATTTCATCCATTTTATTCAGGTTGAAGCTTCCAAAGGAATTCATCGTGGAAGATGTCAGGCTACGTTCGTTCATTCAGTGGCAAAGAAGATACGCCTGGCTGGGATACGTTTTATTCTTTTTTTCTCTGTTTTTCTTTGTAATTTAACATTAGGTAAGAATGCTCACACGCACATACACACAATTACATTAAGTAGCTATATAGGTAGGTTAGATAGGCATAATTTTAATTGTAGGTAGGATAGATAGGAAGCATCCAACACTAATGTAGTTGAATAGGTAGGCAGCGTAAGTTTATCTCTTCTATTTTTTCTCGCACCCACATGACACGCATCAGCGTATTATACACACACACACACAAATACATACAAAAACACATATTAGTATTTGAGCGTTATTTTATTTTCATTACACATTCTAATTTATTATTACTAAGGTTCTGAATGGTTGTTAATGCCGGGGGTGGTGATGGGGATAAGCTCCCATCATCTATAAAATGCTTCCATATGGCAAGCGTCTCAAAGAGCCTCTGACAACCAAGCCCAACTCTTGGCCTTCACGCGGCAGAACTGTTTAAACTAACAGGAGAAGGGGCGAAGGCGAATAACTAGCGCCATAACTAGTTGCTTCGGGCAGGTGAAGCTCATTAGCCTTGGTCGGCTATTTACCTAGGAGAAGGAAAAATCTGACTTCAAACCTCCGCTGCCTTGCGGCATAACTGTTCATGGGAAAGGCTATGGGAGCAAACCCAAACAGAAAACCACACTCCACCACCTGAGTTGCGGTCCAGTAATATCAGGTGCCGGTCCAAAGTCCGGATAGAAAAGAATGGTTGACAGGAGCTTGCTACACTGTCGTAAAAACGCTAATAACACGATGGTAATCCAAAAAAAGTATGCACATACCGGCTCGGACGTCGCCCGGGTGAACAAGGTCCGCGCTGCAGCTTTGGGGACTAGAGGCTGCAGTGTAAAGTATGCTACTGAGTCCCAGAAAGATAGACTGAAGATGGGGTTGACAGTTGGAGTTTGGAATGTCAGGTCATTGTGGCAGACAGGGGCTTACGCGTTGATGAAGAAAAAACTTGAACGATTCAGATATGATTTGGTTGGTCTGTGCGAGGTTCGATGGACAGGAGGTGGAGAAATAGAAGGTGGGAAGATATTATGGTCTGGAACAGAGAGGGAGCACGTCTATGGAGTTGGAATGGTTATTGGCGAAAAAGCAAAAAAAGCATTGTTAGAGTACAATCTAGTGAATGAAAGAATGATGTATGCGAGGTTTAAGGGATACCCGAGAGACATTGATGTGGTAGTGGCCTATGCTCCAACAATGGATTATTTGGATGTAGAAATCGAGGCATTCTACGATCAACTGGAGCAAGCATTGAATGTACTGCCAAAGAAAGATGTTAAGATAATCACTGGAGATTGGAACGCAAAGATCGGAAGAGACAATATTGGTTTTGAAGAAGTTATGGGAAAATACGGTATAGGAAATCGAAATAATAGAGGAGAAAGACTGCTGGAATTTGCAAAGGACCAAAAAATGTATATAACAAATACAAAAACACAAAATACAAAAAAATGGACATGGAAATCACCAGATGGAAAAACAACGAACATGATAGATTTGATTTTGATAGAACAGAAATGGATGAAATTTGTTACTCAGTGCCGTGCTTTCCCAAGTGCAGAGATTGGATCAGATCATCGTCTAGTGTTATGCAACGTCAAGATGAAAATAACGAAGAGACTAAAGTCAGGCGAAAATATCAAGAGTGAAATATAGCACAGAAATGATAAAAGAGAAGTTGAAAGACATCAGAAATGTAATAGAAAACAAATTGGATACAAAAACAAAGTACGATATGAAAACAAAAGTCAGTAACAAAACAAAACAGTAACTTGGAGAAAGTGCTTAAGACTGCAGCCGAAAAATGCGAAGTAGGGAAAAACATAATAAAACCCTGGATAAGTGATGAAACTTGGAAACTCGTAGAGGAGAGAAGACAGTTGAAAGCAACAAAAAGACAAAATAACGAAAATGAGATGAAATGTAAACAACTGTGTTGCAAAATAAAGAAAAGTGCCAGAGCAGATAAAAGAAGATGGATAAACGATAGATGCGAAAGGGTAGAAGCACTAGTTGGACAAAAAACAAGAGAGGCGTATCAGCTAGTCAGACAGTTAAAAGGAAAACTGAAGAATACGTCAAGGATGGAAATGTTCTAACTGAAGGCCAACAAATGAAAGATAGATGGTCGGAATATATCAAGGACCTGTTCAGATAAAAACACGTATAAAAAGGAGGTGTTACAGGCTTTAAAAGAAAGAAAAGTAGTCAATGAGGAAGAAACGGAAATAACATTGGGGGAAGTAATAAAAGCAATGAAGAAAATGAGGAACAATAAGAGCACAATTCCCATAGAACTGATCAAAGCGGGAGGACCAATTGTATGTAATGAGATTCACAAAATCTGCCAAGAAATCTGGGACAGTGGAAAATGGCCAGAAGATTGGTGTAAATCAATCTTGATCATGTTGCCAAAAAAAGGAGACCTGAAAGACTGCAACAACTACAGATCAATAGCACTGATCCCTCATATGTGCAAGATCATGCTGACGATCTTGAAAGAACGATTGGAGAAAGACCGAGCAGCATTTAGGAGAGGAGCAGGCAGGTTTCAGAAAGGACAGAAATACAGTCCAGCAAATCCTGATGTTGAGACTATTGTTGGAAGATGCAGGAAGCAGAGGTTAAACAACTTTTCATTGT